TATATTCGAATGTTATTTTCTTCACAGGATGTGCATACCCTTCTCGTCGGGTTCCTTAGCGGCGATTAAGTACTAGCTACCTTGCCCTTCGGATGACAGTACTATTCTAACACTAAAAGGACAGTCACCCATGCAATTTGCTTTGTTAACACTACGAAGTCAACTCAGTCAGTCGGCAGATCCATCGTATGACTTTTATATTTGGACTGCGGGCACCGAATCCGACGGTTGGCCCCGTGCCTGTCGTCGTCGATCCAAGAGAAGGGGTGATGAGTTGCATCACCGTCATGAATGCTTGTGTCTCTCGAGATTCGATGGCGCCTAAAAAGTAGGATCTAACTTGAAAGCAGTGAACGCGACGACAGGAGGAGCCCTCTCGGAAGATTAACAAAACAAAAACAAAAAAAATAGGCCACCTGTTGCGAAACAGTTCACGGAGTTGCTTACAACCAGAATTCATAAGCACGATAATACTTCATCGATCACGTCCAATGAATTGATGATCTCCAGTGGACCGTCACATCGGCATGATATATACGTATTTTGTTACGTAGCATAATACTAGAATGTGAAGTGGGTTGCTTGATAGAATCTGGATGGACGACGACTAGTTCGGCCAGCGTCCCAAAACCAACAACATTTTATTATTACCGGAGTCGACGAATGTGGAATCGATCATCATGTTTTTCGCAACTGTGTGTCGTCGGAGGCCCAAAGATAAAAAGCGTGGGTGTATTAGGAATCCTGCGAGGCGGTGGCTCAGATCTCACGCAGACCATCCATCATTGGGCGGGTGTCTTTGGTGATCTTCCATGTCGAGATGGGAAGGGAAGCGAAGCAACTTTGAGAAGCAAACCCCATCCCAGCGTAGTCAACAGCTTTTGTTTTGTTTTGTTTTCTTTTCTTTTCTTTTCTTGGCACCCCCCACCACATGATAAAAATGAAGGTCGATTCTCACCACATTTCGAGTCATGCTGTGTTTGACTCCCAATGGCTGAAGAAGAATGCGTGCAAATGAGCCAAACACCACACCAAGTAAACGCACCGAATGGGGGGCGTGAGAAACGCACCGTCTCCAACTCTCGCCTAACTCCACGCCGACTTCCCCACTGTTCTTTCTTCTCTCCTTCTCGCCCCCCGCACACAAATCACAGCAGCACTAAACCATCTCTGATCCCTGTCGATGGCCTTCCCCTCCTCCTTCCACCGCCCCAAGAAGCCCCACTCCAACATGCTTTCGCTCATCCCCAGCTTTCACATCATTCTCCTCTTTCTCCTCACCCTCTCTGCCGTGGCCATCCTCTTCCTCCACTCCCCGTCCCTCTCCCCTTGCTCCACTGCCGCCGCCTCCTCTTCCTCTAGGAGAGCATTCTCCGGCGACCTCCGCCACGTGGACTTCTCCTGGAACAGCCTCAGGCTCACGTCCGACCGTCCCCCTCCGACCGTCCTGAGAATCGCCGTCTTCTCCCGCAAATGGCCCGTGGCCACCGCGCCCGGGGGCATGGAGCGCCATGCCCTCACCCTCCACTCCGCTATCGCCCGCCGCGGGCATCGCGTGCACGTCTTTACCTCCGCTCCCTCGTCCGGCGAGCGTCTGCCGGAAGGCGGAGAGGAAGAGGAGGAGCCCGGCCGCCCGCGGCTCCACTTCTTGTCCGACGCCCGCTGGCGGTGCGACGAAGCGTGGGGGCTGTACGAGGCGGAGGCGGCGCGGGGCGGCCCGTTCGACGTGGTCCACTCGGAGAGCGTGGCGCTGTTCCACCGCTGGGCCCGCGACGTGCCCAACCTGGTCGTGTCCTGGCACGGCATCTCCTTGGAGGCCCTGCACTCCGGCATCTACCAGGACCTGGCCCGCGGTCCCGACGAGCCCATGACCCCGGCATTCAACCGCAGCCTGGCGGAGTCCATCTACAAGGTGCTGAACGAGATCAGGTTCTTCCGAAGCTACGCCCACCACGTAGCCATCAGCGACAGCACCGGGGAGATGCTGCGAGATGTCTACCAGATCCCATCGGGCCGAGTCCATGTCATCCTCAACGGCGTCGACGAGGACAAATTCGCACCCGACACCCGGCTCGGCGACGCGTTCCGGGCGGAAATCGGACTGCCCGGCGGCGCAGCCTTGGTGATGGGCGTGGCGGGGCGGCTGGTCAAGGACAAGGGCCATCCGCTCCTCTTCGAAGCCTTCTCCAAGCTGCTGTCAAGGCACCCGAACGTGTATCTGGTGGTGGCCGGATCGGGGCCTTGGGCGCAGCGGTACGCCGATCTGGGGGTCAACGTCATCGCGCTCGGCCCGGTGCCACCTTCGAAGCTGAATGGGTTCTACAACTCGTTGGACGTGTTCTTGAACCCCACCCTGAGGCCGCAGGGGTTGGACTTGACGCTGATGGAGGCGATGCAGTGCGGGAAGCCGGTGGTGGCGACGAGGTTCCCGAGCATCAAGGGGACGATAGTGGTGGAGGAGGAGTTCGGGTACACGTTTTCGCCCAACGTGGAGGCGTTGCTGGAGGTGTTGGAGAAGTTGGTGGGCGAAGGGAAGGCGAGGTTGGCGCAGAGGGGGAGAGCGTGCGGGGAGTACGCCAAGTCCATGTTCACCGCCAGCAAGATGGCCTCCGCGTACGAGAGGTTGTTTCTGTGTATTAAGAACGAGACATACTGCAGGTACCCCTTGGCGTTCGATTAGATTGATTCCTTTGTTGCGACTTTATATTGCCAAGCATGCGTGTTTCGAGTTCAATTCTGAGCACACCAATTGTTTGATACAATGCGCGTGAGGCCAGCATCATCAATCTCAAGTCAGGAAGGATCGTCCATTCTTCCGAAGATCAATGGGCTCTCTTTGTTCGGTGACTCTTCCGACTCGTAGCGTGGAGGAAACTTGAGCATGCGTTCGGTACGGACTCGGAACATACCATATATTTTCGAGAAAGGAAGCCTTTTTACCCATCTCCACTCGACGACGTGTGGCGGCCGTGTAAGCAGTTGGGGATCCAAGTCAGGAAGGCCGGCAGAAGGCCTATGGCCGGCAGAGACATAGGCCTACTGCCGGCCCAGTCGGACGTCGATTTAAACAAAACACAATGTACAAGATAACATTTTCTAGAACAAACCGAACCACTTTGCTATAGGAAAATAAAATCAAATCAAATCAAATCAGGCCGGAATACTACGTACGGTTGCAGTCGGATTTCTAATATGGTTTTGAATTCCCAACAAATTTTAATTCCAGAAATAAGATTCAGTTCTTATATATATATATATATATATATATATCTCAACTGCTCATGGCCTGTGGTAAGGAAGTGGCCGAGGCTGTGGTTACGGATTCTCGTAAGGGCCTCTGCACTAGTGTTCCTCCTTCCACTTACCTCTGTGCCTTTGTTCATTTTGCTGGCCATGATTGAAAGGGCAGCCCTTCTCTCCTAACAAGTAAAGAAAGCAGGTGGATCCATCCTAGTCCGCTACCGACATTGTAGTAGGCCTTAGAGGTGGCATAGCATGGCCTTTTGCCTGCTTTATCACCCTTGTTCGTTTGTACTCTCCTCTTTTCAAATGAATCTTCGATACGCCGCGAGAATGGGAAAGAGGGTTGGCGATGCTTTGGGATCCAAGAATCCCACAGGAACTCATCAGGTGACGGTGCTCTTTACAGCTTGTAAAGCTGCACCATGCGGTGGAGGGCCTGCAGATGGGCAGTCACAGATATAGATGCGATTCGACGCTCTCTTTTTGGACTCCAACCACTATTTATTACATCTCCTTCGCCTCAGCATCCTACCAATAATATATATTCCGATTGCTTGCAGAGAATTTAGTGCCCCTGGGTGGCACCACCACCTGTCGTCGTTTCACGGCGTTGTCTTGTCTTTCTTTGGGATCGTGAGCTCAGCGCCTCGTTTCTTTTCCAGCCATCGGCTCCCCATGGAGACCGTTCTCGAGTTGATCGTGATAGCTCAATTACCGTAACGTAAGTCGAAGGACAAGCATCCCACCCAACGCGAAGCGAGAGAGGTCTTTTTCACAGGAGCGATGCAAACGACAGATGAAGAAGATGTATTGGATCATCCGAAAAGAACGGGCTTTTCCAACCCAACGAGAGAGAGCGCAGTACGAATGCACTATTAGTTCCTCGACCAGTGGAGAAGAAGTAAATGATAACAAGGATGGTCGATGAGGCCATACCAGCAGAGATCACGGGCGAGACGCGATGCCACCCACCCGCTGGTTTATTAATGAGGGGCGTGCCGTTCCATAATGCTGCGCAGGTTTGTGGGGGCACCCCCAACGGTCACGGGTTGGGAACATCTGCCAACGACCAACCGAAGAAGGGAGGAGATGATGATGATGATGATGATGATGATGATGATGATGGGGAAGAAGCTAGTTTGGTATCGGTAATTGGCCGGCTGTGCATGTCTGACTCACGGATGTGTTTCTGTCGAGGAGGACGAAGACTGATATGACGGGGGTACATCGAAGAAATGCCATCTCGACTCCCATCTCCTCCGCGTTAGCACTTGCCGACGAGGAGGAAGGTGAACAACTTCACATTGGTTAGAACGGGGAGGCATCCTCCTACTCCTCTGTGTCGCTGTCACTGTACTGGAGGAGTATTTCTACGAGTGGAGCGAACAACAGGGGGCGGGTCATTTCGAAACAATGAATGCATCCAACAGGCAGGCAATTAATAGCCCACCACCCACCACCCACCAGATCTAAACCTTCAAAACCAGGCAACAGTTTTGGGGCAAGAACAGCCAGATGAAGAGGATCGGCATCATCATGTCATCTGAGAAGCAAGAAACCCAACCCAAACGAGAACCCCGACAAAGTGAGCAACTAAAACTTAACATACACCCACATCCTGAAATGAGAAAAATCTGCGGATTGTTCTTTTTATTTTAGAGAGGTGTGCTGCAGAAGCAAAAAAAACACATCAATGAACATCTTTCTTTTTCCATCTCCCCCTCCCTCCATGGTTTCCAATGTTTTTCTTTTTTTTTTTTCTTTCTTTCTTTTCAGATATATGGAATATATACATGCAATAAATCCGAACCAGCCTCCGAACTGAATTAATAGTACAATCAAGCTTCTCAGGAAGATAATGGTTGCTCGGGACATTTGATTGATGATACTGGAGCGCCGCAAATGAAGGGAAAGAATACATGAGGAGGCCGAGGGACCAAAAATGTACAAGTAAATGGAGAAAAATGGGCTCTTTTTCTTTTGACTCCAGTTCATGCTTTGGCACAATCAATTATTTTGTAGCTCAGTCGCTGGTTTAATGGGAGCTGACATTTGTATAAAAAAAGAAAGCCGGTGGCTTGCCAGGATGTATCACAACAACCACTTGTTTCTTCTTAAAGACTGTAGTGCCTCACCGAGTTCTCCAACACCTGCTGGCTTGGGCAGATCATCTCCTTCACTCTTTTCCCATTCTTGTAGATCTTAAAAGTTGGGACTACCCTCACATTTTCTGCCACCGCAATACCAGGGCTCCGCTTGACATCAACCTTTGGTACAAGCACGCAATTAAATTAGACGACGACGGCATCAAACAAGAGGACTTATTGTGAGGCTGAAATTGTGATGCATGACTATCGATATTTACCTTGAGAAAGTTTGCAGATGGGTACCGGGTACAGAGCGCATCAACAAAAGGGGTTATCTGAATGCATTGCAGATTCGAAGAAGTCATGAAATAAACAACAGAAGCACCTGAGATAGTGAAACTTTTGATCTCAGTGGAGATATAAACTAATGGATAAGGTATGGTAGTCAATCTATGCTATCTGACGTATGTAAATGCATAAAACAGTCATATCAACTGCAGGACACCACCAAGAATTGATTCACGGGCATCAAACTTGATCAGAACAAATACAGGTAGATTTTTTTTTTTGTCAGCATCAGCTTCCTAGACAGTAAATCATATTAACAGGAGAAGTATGGCCTAAAAATCACATATATACCACAGAAATTATTGAAGTCACCTAAAGAAATGCAGTGGAGCTTAATTAATAGAGGGCTTATGGCACAAAATACTTAACCAGTCAAATGCAAACTGACCAGGTAATGATACTGCTGCTCGGAATTGTTCTGCGCTAGTAACCTCCTCAACTTCTCCTCCAAACTTCAAATTAGAGATCTCCTCACCACGAGATGTTTTTAATGCAATCTGAGCATGGAATAAGGCTTCAGCCACCTCGTTGTCACCGGGAAGCTCCTTCCTCAGAACTTCATAATCTCGTACTGATTCAGACCAACGCTCAAGCTAATTACCATGTCGATCAAAACAAGATATTGTCAATACCAGTGATGCATTATTTATGTATCGAAGAAGCCACATGGTACGAGACAACCTTGGCATAGGAATCAGCCCTTCTGAGAAGAGCCTTGGTGTAGTTGGGTTGGATTCTGAGGGCTTCATTGCAGTCCTCAACAGATTTAACCCACTGCCCAAGCTTAGAGCGGCAAGCTGCTCTGTTGCATAGGAGGACTGGATTTGAAGGATCATACTTGAGTCCTTCCCCATAAGCTGTGCAGGCCTCTGCAAAGTTTCCTGACTTGAAGAGCTCATTTCCTTGAGCTCGAGCTCTTGCCACTGATCTTATATTATTCAGGACCGTTGTCACTCCTATATTCCTGCCATCCATCTGCTTGGCCTTTTCTGCTGCCATGACTGCATTCTCAAACCTACAAGAGTTCCAATTCGATTTTCATCACCCAAAATTTGATTTTATGCTATTCTGCAGAACTTCGGAGATATCAGCTTACCTCCCCAAAGCCATATCAACCTGTGCTTTAACAATGTAGAAATAGGAATGCGAAAGCATACCAAAGATCTTGGCAGCTGAGAAGAAAGAGAACGAGTCTTCAAATTTTAGTGATCTTGTTAAAATCGAATCAGCCTCGTCAAGCTGATGGAGATGGAAAAGAGCTTCTGCTCTCGATGCAACAAGCTGCAGTATCGGACTCGGTCAATTGTATGTTCAATTTTCAGAGAAAATAATAAACAAATTAGCAGATAACAGTAGTTTAATCCAATCTTGAGGACTTACCAGCGGAGAAGAGTCTGCTCCTGCAGCAATTGCAGCATCAGCTTCCCTCAACACACTCTTCCAATCTCCAACCTTCCTGGCATCGCCACATTTTAGCCAGTGCCTCTCCACCGATTGCAGCTTCTGCAACTCAACTGGGTCAGGAGGCTGTCCGGCCAAGAAGTGATGCTTCCTTGCATCCTCAACTAGCCCTAACCTGCAATAAGAAATGGCTTAAAAATGGAATAGCCTTCCTACTACAAATCGGAGTATGTACAAAGTCAGACAGCCGCCACAGCAGCTAGCGAAGCAAAATAAGAGTCCATAAAAATTTTATTAGAAGCATATACAAAAGTTCTGAGTGGGTCAATTCTCTAGCAGCGAATTGCTGCATCAAGCATGAAATACATGCTCTGATAATTTCTTTTTACAGGAAAATGGCACCTGTGCAGACATTGTTTACGGCAAAATCACAAAGCAGCCACTGTTATTCTAACAGAATCATAAAACAGCCAGGCAGAGTCTGTGAATTGGTTAGAACATTTGGGATCAAGAATCCGCAAAATATTTCCATGGATAGCCTAAGAATTATATCCTAATTACAGTTTTTTGATCCAAGTCATGCCCAAGGCGATTTGAACGTACACCAAGGACTGTAACATCGGAAGAGGAAGATAAGGCACAACCAACTCATACTGATCACGGTGTCATCACATGCCAACCAAAAAAGTTAACGCAAAAGATTGCCGGCCAAAAGGATCGACAGAAAACAATCCCTTTAAGAAAAAAAAAAAACAAAAGGCACATGGAAGAGAGATCTGCCGAGCACAAAGATCAAAATTTTGGACAAAAGAACGGAAAGAACACGAGCAGGATTTCAAAACGTAAAGCAAGTAAAGAAAGAACATAAAACAGCTGATGACCAGAAGCCATCTGTTTACCCATCAGGGTGGAGATGGCATCAGCGGTGAAACCCTACCTTGCGCAGCACATTAATACCGGAGACAAGAGTGCATTTTTAAGTCTCTCGACGTGAATCAAGAACGAACGAGTAATCTACAACACAACGATGGCATTTCACGGTCTCACCTTAATTTTAGGCATGCCAGCCGCTGGTGAGCCCGGCCGTTCGTTGGATCCAACCGGACGGCCTCCTCACACTCTCTCGCCGCCTCTTCTAACCTGCCGAGCCCCATCAGGGCCGCCGCACGATTACCCCGACATGCGGCATTTTCCGGGCACATCGCGACCGCCTTGTCATAGAACGCCAGCGCTTCCCCATACTGCCCCTTCTTGTAGTGCTCGTTCCCAGCCCTAGTTGCTTCCAGAGGATCCATTCTCCCCGTCGCCATTCTAGCATTCGAACCCCCTGAATTCCATATTCCAACAACGCCACCGGGTCTTGAGGCAACACCACCGCCTCCGCCCATCCCGCCACGAATTATGCTGCCGTGGCCGTAGTTCCCGGTGCCGGACCCGAGCACATCGCTCCTGGGCGACGTCCTATGCATCATCCCCGTCTTGCCGATCTTCCCCGAGGGGCAGATGTTTCCGGTCGGAAGCGCATTGATGACGGGAGAGCTAGCCGTGCTGCTGCTACCACCGCCGCCGCTGCCGCCGGAGAAGATCAGCGGCCCCGAGCCCGATCGCCGGTGGGTGGCCGTCTTCAGATCCCGTCCATCCGCAGCGGTCGGGCTGGACTCCACGAAGAGCTCGCCGGAGTGGCACAGCCGCCCGGCGTCGGGGGCTCCCGCGCCAGGCTTCCGAGCGACGATGGCTGCGGTCGGCACGGCCTTGCCGGCCGAGCCGGAGGAACTGGAGCAGCTGCTGGTTTGGGTGGAGGCGTGTTGGCCGAGAGGGGAGACGGGGGAGCCGAGATCGGGGAAGTCGGGCTTGTTCTCCTCCAAGGCGAGCACCGTCTTGAACCGGTCGGCAACGGGGTCGAGCCGGCCAGGTGCCCCCGAGTCCGAGCCAATCCTATGGTCTGGCCGGCCCGTCTCGCCGGCTCGTGACATCTGGGCCTCGTTCCCTCGGCTTCAGATCTCCTCTATCGCCACCCTTCCTCGCACTTTCTCTCTCTAATAGATCAATGCCCGTAGCTCCTATAGTTGTAATGGCTACAGGAATCGTAGAAAATACTGCGGCGAAAAAATAATACAAATCCTGACGGAGAGGAGAGAGAGAGAGAGAGAAGGGGGAATGAGGGATATCGTGATACGGAAAATGGAGGAAGAAGGGAATGAATGTGAGTAACGTCGGAGAAGGGAGCAAAAGAGGGGATGGGAAGGAGGGGAAGAAAAAAGAAGAGGAGGAGGAAGGGGGGAGAAGAGCGGAGTCAGAAACTAATAAAAAGGAGGAAAGTTTTCATCATTCAATTACACTTTCTCCGGTTTACCCCCTGCTGACACTGCCGTCCTGCATCGTTGGAAGCCCTCTCCTCCCCATGATCTTCTCTCACCCTGTCCCCTTCCGACTTATATCCTTCCTCCTTCGTCTATCCCCTCCTACCAACTTATAATTTCTTCCTTATTTATTTATGTTTATTTATCTATCTCCGTAGAATCAAAAAAAAAAAATCTAAATGATTTTTTATTTTCTTGCGCTTCTCACCTTTTTTTCGATACGACGATGTTGGATGATAAATCTCCTTGGCCGAAGTCATGACCCACGAAAAACATCGCACCAAAGTTATTTGTACCGTGTGTTCTCGGAGTTACTCTTGCCCCCCTTAATAATATTATCTTCTTTATTATTGTTATTGTTATTACTGATAGCTTCTAGGTGAGAGAAAGAGAGAGAGAGAGAGAGAGGGAGAGACATTTTGGATAGTTTGTCCAAAGGAGGGGGCTCGGGACGGTTGCAGCTAGCCATTCAGGGAGCTCCAAGTGTCCCCGTTGCCCTCAGGCTAAGCGCTCACACTCCGACCGTGATCCGTCGACCCTCATCTCCAACACAGTTCGATGGATCGAGTCCGACTACTCAGCCCGGCTATAAAAGAAGTGCATTCGGTCACCTCGTGTAAAAATAGAGAGTTGTGCCCCCTTAGACCGAGATCTCGATGCATGTATCTAATAATATCTAGTGATCAAGACTGTATCGTGGTGATGATGGAGTCGTCTTTGATGAACCTATGCCGATTCATCATTAAATGTAAGAGGAGGAAAATTAGACTGATGAGGGGCATAAAAATGAATGGGTCATCTCTTTCATTTAGTCTAACCTTTTTAGTGTTACCGAAAACGATTGTGTCACTTAGGTCTACACGCACCACCCCTCCGCCCCCGCGTTAATTTACCCATTGGTGTTGCAGCGATTGAGTTGAATTATTTGGATGTCCGTCCGACTGATCATTGAAATTTGCATATAGGCTTCGATTTCTTGATGCCGCTCGTCAAAATATACCTCTCTACTGGTTATAATTTCACAATCATCTGTGGTGGATGGAGGAGGACACGAATTTCGACGACTATTGGAAGAAGGGTCATCCGCCGGTCTCGATACAAAAGGATGGAATCATCTCTTACAAGTTTGAATTGAGCGAGTACGAGCGCAATAGAAGCAGGATAGGAAGATGGGAAGGTAAAAATAAACTCTAGCGGAAGCAGCATCGCATTAAATTATGATATGATGGCTCCGTCACTTTCCGATTAATGCAGCAAGAGGTTTATGTCTACTTGGAGCTGCCTGTGCGTGCATGGATCGTCTATTCCTGCCTGTTGTTTGTCAACCGTCGATTCGCATTGCTTATTTCATTATGATTCCTCGATCTGCAAAGATGATACCAAGTCATGTAGCCTCTTCTCCATGATGACCCAAATGTTCGGTCGTGGATGATGCTTGCCTTCAAGTTTTCTTCAGCCCACTCATCATCATCATCATCATCATCATCATCATCATCATCATATACAATATATTCTCTGTATATACATACATATGTATTTGTGCTTTCGGCAATTCAGATAAAACCCTTATGTGAATTGATGATGCATTTTCTTTTGCAGGATATGTATTAGTTTCTCGTGCCATCTTTTCACACATATCGCCGGCAATTTTCATAAACAATTGTAAAAGGGAAACACGCACAGAGAGATACAGAATGAATTATCAGAAAGGAGGTGTTGAATTTTGCATACACTAATGGAATCGACTCCCACGATATCCAAAAGCCAAAAGAGTGATTTAAATAGCCGGTCCATCCGATTGGGAGAATATGTTGTTGTTGTTGTTTAGCTGCTACAGCACGAGGAAGATCGGACGGATACCAAGGCAGGTGTGGTCGCATGCGAATCTTGATGCAGCATCATGACCCGAGACGCACAGGCCATTGGACCATTCTGCTGCCACCGTTCCACGGACGCCAGCCATCATTCCTGCTCCCAACCACCCCGATCATGACCCATCATCACGCTGCTTCCATAGCCGTTGCAACGATCATACGAGTCGAAAATTTGTACCCAAATTTTACCTTAGTGTTTTTTTGGAGTGTGGGGGGTGGGGAGGGAATCACGCGTACGTTTGATTGGATCCGCGTCGACGCAATTGACTCCAACTATGAAATAATGTTGTGACCTGTTTGACCCGTTCGTTGGTGATACGAAGCCACTTTAGCTCATCGATCCGTCGATGAATCAGATTAAGATTAAGCCCCTAAACAGCAGTCCATTTCCACGCAACTCACTTTTGGGGATACGAATTACCAACCCCTTTCGTAAACCCTAAGAGCGTAGCAGCAGCTGATATTTTTCTAACCAACTGCGCATCCATCGACTCTGCCCTTAACAAGATTGAGGTTTTCCCTAATTCATTTTATTTTATGCTTGGTGAAATATTTATTATACGCTCATAGGTTTGTGCATTTAAAATAGAGGTATTTCCCTAATTCATTCTCTCTGCTTAGCGGGGTACTGTGTGCTTAAGTTCACTCTACAGGTATGAGTAATAAAAAATGGAGGTTTTTCCCTAGTCCAATCTTTTGCTTAGTGAAACACCGTAATACTATGACTGACTGACTGACTCTAGTCCATTCTATTCTTTTCCACGTTCAAAATGGAGGTTTTTCTTTAATCCATTTAATCGCTTAGCGAAACATTGCAATTTGATTCGATCACAGTTCTTTCGTTACATTACCAATAATACATGTTTGTCAAACTACTTGCATACCGGAAATGACGAAGCACCGCAGCTTTCTCTTCTTAACAACCAAAAGCTGATGCTCTTTTGGAATGACAGAGCAAGTCAACAGTGCGTGCACGTCGCAGCTAGGCGATGCGAACCCGTTGGCTCTTCTTACCAGCGACGCATGGCGGCCGCTCCATCAAGTAGGAGGAGACCGCGGGATGTCAGTGTTCCGATGGAGCAACAACCGCTGCAGCTCTTTTTACTGCACACCAAACTTAAAAGCATCAAAATAGGCATCAGCTATGCACGCGCACACGTGCTGGAACAAGGCCCCTTCGTTTTTTACCTTTCCTGTGTAACAGAGATTTAAAGCCTGGAGTTCATCTGAGTTAGCGACTTCCACGCCTGGTTGTTGGCCTCTCGTTCTCCAAACGATGGCTTCTTTTAGATTCTCTGTCACTCGTGAATGAATGAAGAAAATGTCGGATCTCCTTCTTGGAATTAAACTAGTTCTATGTCGTAAAGAAATTAATTTCATCAAAAGAAAATTAAAATTTTATTACATCAAGAGGAAAAAAATTAATTAAATATTTATAATATAAGACAAGTCAAATTAATTATTAATTCTTAAAAAAATTTAAGAATTAATTTTTTTAAATATAATTAATATAATATAATATATCTTTAGGGACCGTATAAATCCTATATGTTGAATCATGAAAAATATTGAGTTTTAAAGTTGTAAAGAAGTTTGAGTGAAATATAAAATATCTTATCTTATCCTTCGTTTGTGTGATAACTATATCCCTTCTTCTCATTAAGTTCAACATTTAGTATCAAAGCATAGGTTAAGCTGTGGCCTCTTCCCCAAATACTATCCTTAGATTGATAAAAAAAAAATTATGACATATGATGTATCCAAATAAAAGTTTTTCTATGCTCCAAAGATCTATAAGAGTTTGTAGAAGATTGATTTGTTGAACCAAGTCAAGCAAAAAATGGAGCAATGAATGCAGAAGTAAGAAAACAACTCAAAGATAGAAGAAAGAAGGAGAATAAAGCATTGTTCACGATCAACGAAGGGTTTGATGATACAATGTTCGAGATCATCGTTCTAGTAAATACTCCAAAGGATGCTTAGGAAATGCTACAAAAAACATTCGATGGTGTTGATAAGGTAAAAAAACTTTGTCTATAAGTTTTACAAACTGAGTTTAAAAAATTACATCAAGATACTTCTGAAATTATTTCTTATTACTTCTCAAAAGTCATTTCTATTGTTCACCAAATGAGATGAAATGATGAACAAATAAGTGATCAAAGAGTAATAGAAAAAATATTGAGGTCTCTAGATCCAAAATTTAATTTTATTGCTGTTGCGATTGAAGAATATAAATATTTAAAAAAAATGTCTTTAGAACAACTTATGAGTTCCCTTCAAGTTCATGAATAAAGGATTAAAAAAGAGAAGACAAAACTATAGAGCAAGCACTATAAACCAAGCTTGTTTTTGAAAACAAACGTGAATCAAATTCTCAAAAAGAAAGAGGACACGAACAAAGAGGAAGAGGAGGCAGAAGTTAGACCAATTAAGAATCTTTAAACAATGAAGGTGGTGGAGAAAATTCTAGTCAAAGAGGCTCAGGTTATGGTCGAAGGCGTGGCCGAGGCCGTGGACATGGTAGAAACTTTAAAAGATCTGAAATACAATACTATATTTACAAAAAATATGAATATTACTCCTATGAATATTATTATAATCCTAACAATCAAGGTGATAAGACAAATTTTATTGAGGAAGAAAAAATAAAAATCAAGTTTTACTAATGACTTATGATGATTTGAAAGAGGATAAGTCTATGACATAGTATTAAAGAATTATATCACATGTGTGATATTAAAGAATTATTTTCAAAAATAGATACAAGTTATTCTAGAAATATTACAATCATATAGACCAATAAGAGATAGGTAAAATTCTCTTTGAACTTAATAATGGTAAAGAATTATGCATTTCGTTTATTTTATTCCTAATATGAAAAATAATATTATAAGCTTGGGCAATTACTTAAAAAAGATTATGATATTAAAATAAAAGATATGACTCTCTCAATGACAAGAATAAAACATTAATATCACATGTGAAAATGATAAAAAATAGAATGTTTCCTCTACATTTATGTATTTTTGATAAGTCAAATTGTTTTAAAATTGATATTGAGGATATTCCTACATTATGGTATCTTAGATATCCTCACATAAATTTTAAGGTTTTAAAACTTCTAGAGAAGTATAACATGGTGATAGGAATGCCAAGAATTGATTACCCATTAAAATTATGTGAAATATGTTTCATGGGC